TGCTTACGGTTACACGGTGTGATCCCGAAATGCCCAGAGACAGCTGTTAGGCTTCTAGATATCTTCCATGCCACTCTAGCAAGCTTGGCCATCCCAAGATACCTAGGCTTCGGTGCTATCCGAGGTGATAGAAGCACCCGAGGTAATCCGACCTACCTAGACAACCGAAGATGTTGACCCGACCTTCCGAGGTGGCCGGGGGTGTTTACCCAACCTGTTGAGGTGGCCGGGGAGGCTGAGTCAACCTGCCAAGTGGTCGAGGATGCTGAGTTGTGTATAATCACTAGGTTGTGTCCACGTGTCCGCTGCTTACTAGGTCGGGCCAAATCGTTCCTCATCAATATCTATGCATCTCTTAAAATTGTCTTTCTATTTTCTTTGCATTTTTTTGGACCTGCCTGGTAACATGAACCCATGCTCCCGTTGGGCTTTTGGACCTTTATCTTTCGATTCCCATGGGTTTTTGGTCCCCTTGGACAGACGTCTTTCAGTCTTTCTTAAAAAAAAAAGCTAAAAGATAGTCTAACAATAGGTTGAAATGGGCAACTTTATCAAGAGCCATAAGCCCATGGTTGTCACAATTGCAAATTAGTTGCAATTATGCTGGATACTGGAACTCGCATCACCCGAGCATTAGAGATTATTGTCTTAATCAAGGTTTGATTAATCTCAATGCCTAAAAATATTAATTTTTATTATCATTTAAATAGTTTTCTTTCTTTTTTGCATGGTATAGTAGTGATAAGAGAAAGCATATCAAAGTGCTTAAAATGTTAAAAGCTAAAGGAGATATTTTCTTTACAAGTTTATATCATATTTTTAATAGATGAGGCTTTTAAATTTAATAGCAGACTTAAAAGGTTGGAGTTAATGGGGTGGGAATTGTTATTAGGGGAGTTAATAGGGTCATTTCATGGGAGTGGGTGGTGTGAGTGAGAATTAAAATAAAAAAACAATTATATTAAATTATAAAAAATGGGTCAGCTTTTGGTTTGTACCATCCAATATTACCTTAAAGGCTTAAACCATAGTCTTAATACTCAAGTAGTTCAACAAAAATGAGCCTTTTTTTTATTTGGTCATTAAGAGTAATGTATCCATACTATTATTAAGAATGTGAACAAGAGTGTGGGACTTTTGTTTGACTAAAATACCCCAATTTTTTAATTTAGTCCCTCTCTGGTTGTAGGGCTAAAAATGTCATATGAATAACCCCATTCAAATACCTCTCATTAAGTCTTATATTTAAGGTATTAATTCCCATTAACATTTATTAAATCTTATTCTTGAATAGAATACCCCAATTTTTTAATGTGGTCCCTCTCTAATTGTAAGGTCACAAAATGTAATTTTCTCCTTATTTAATTCCCTCTCATTAAGTCTTATATTTAGGGTGCTAACTCCCATATTGAATCCTATATTAATTAATCATATAAAATAAAAAATAAGTGTAGCAGAATAATTATTTTTATTGATGATAGAAATAACATACAAATTTAAAACCAACTCAAAATGGAGTTTTCCTATTTGGCCATGAGTCAGTGAAATGTGTTAACCCTTGATGTCATAATTAAAATAATAATAGAATTTAAAAATATGAAAATACACAAAAATATAAAAAAATACAAAAAATGTAGAAAACATTTGGACACTTCTTTAATATCATATATTCATCTTTTAAACAAAAATAAGTGTGGCAAGTAAGAATAATTTTTATAGACATAGAAATATAAAAAAAAAGAAAAATTTGGAAAACATATTATTTACTATCATCATTAATTAGGGGTGCAACTTAGGCAGGTCTAACCCAACCTGAGATTTTGCATGGAGTGGGCTTGCATTTTTGGGCTACAAGTTGGGCTTGGACCAGAGAACTCAGGCTTGACCTAAAATTGGGTTGGGCTTCGGTTAAGGCATTGGGTAGCCTGAGCCCAACCCATACATGTGTGTGTGTGTGTGTGTGTGTGTAGATCAGTATATGTATAAAGTAAACATACCTTTGTAAATGAAATTTGCACATATTTTCAATTAATTCTACTCTTAAATTGGGTCATAAAGCCCATTAAAAGATGAATATGTAAAAATATGTATATGAATCCTTTCAAACCCGACCAAGCAACCCATGCCTGATTAATCCGACCCAGCCCAGCCTGAGCCCAAGCCTAAACCCAACCTGAGTTGTTTTTGGGTTAAGCACGGGTTGGGTCTGGTTGATAAATTTAGGCTTAACATCGGGTTGGACTAGGTCAGAGCCCAAGGTTTGCACCTTTAGGGTTAGGTCTGAGTTGACCTTCAACTCGACCCAACCCACCCAAATTGTATCCCAAATCATCATCATAAAAAATTTCCACGTGCGAAGTACTTGCACAATTACTAGTAGAGTATAGTGAATACTAGCGGGGACCCGTGCCATGCACGAGATTTATTAAACAAAAGCTAAATAATAGAAACACATAAAAGTATATAATTGTTTTATATTTTTTAATTTTTAAATAATTAATAATTATTTATATTTTATATACTACTTTTAAATTTTTTTTTACAATACAAAAATAATAATTAATTTCAGCTAAGGTTGTTCATCAAATTGATGAACCCAACCAACTTGACCTGAATTGGTCGGTTTTCACTAATGGTTAGTCGTTTTTGGGTGACCAACTTCCCAACCTGACTAGGTCGATTTGGTTGGACAAAATGCATACAATTGAACTGAACCAACTTGTGAACATTCCTAATTTCAGCTAAATTAATAGTCTAATCTCTAATAAATAGCAATAATTTAATCTCCAAGAATTATTGAAAATTTATAGCAAAAATGTACAATTATTGAAAATATATTGATAATGAAAATACAACATATAACTAATAAAAATACTATAACTACAAAAATACAATAAATACTAAAGAATATATTAAATTAGTCAATAAATAGTGTAATCTCAAATAATAGTTTAATCTCTAATATTAACCAATAAATTATAACAACCATACAATAAGTACAATAAATTAAATTTAAAAAGTTAAATAATAGTAGTTTAATCTCCAATAATGATTAATTTTTTTTTTGTTAAATAAAAAAACAAAAATAGATTTTTACATAATTATTGAAAATGTATTGTTTAGTATATATAAATATATAATAAATATAGGGGGTGATGAGAAAATTTAAGTGGCTAACATCCAAATTAACAATTAGAGTTCGGTAGGAAAGGAGATCAGCTAATGGGACGACATATCTTCTTGCCAAGCAAGGGGTTCACAGGGATCAATTGTTCTGGGCTAAGTTGTAATTTTGCGTTGTTTTTTGAGACAATATCTCGTGCCTCTCTTTGGGATCTCTATTATGTAATTTTTGTTGGCTCATATTAATCATTCTTAATAAATCACTTTATTACTTATAAAAAAATAAATATGTATTAAGATTTTAAAATTATTTTTAATAAATATTACTTTTTTTGAAAGTTATTTTCTAGAATTATTAATTGATATAAGTGAAATTAGTTACATAATTGTGTTATTAATTTTGTAAAATATTAAATTATTATTAATTTGAATATTATGCTATAATTATTTTTCTACTTTTAAGTTTTTTTTTTATTTTTTTACATAATTTTGTTATTTTAACTTTTTAAAACCTATTTATGTTAAATATTTCATTATTTAAAATATTAATTTATTTAAATATATATATATATATTTCAAAATTTTCATTATTTGGATTTTATTTATTTTATATAATATTAAGTACTTTGTTATATAATTATTTAGCTATTTTCAATATATGTCATTTAAGATATTTAGTTATTGAAATATTTAAATAATGTTTTATTTTTTAATGTTAATGTTTTATTATTTGAATTACATTTAAATTGAATGAATCTATATTGTTAGTACATAATTTTGTGATGAATTTTGTAAAAATATAAAATTATGAATAATATGAATATTATTAAATATATTATAATTATTTTTTGTGTTTTTAGTAAATATGTTAAAGTTATTATATAATTTTTTTTAGAATATTTAAATAATTTTAATTAAAACTTTCTTTAGATACATATAGATAAAAAGTGGGGGGAGAGGGTAAATAGGAATAAGAGATAATTTAGGAGAGAAGATCTACTAAATTAGAGATAACGTAGGAGATAAATAGGAATTATAGATAATTCAGGAGATAAATAAGAATTATAGATAATTTAGGAGAAAGTAGGGGAGAGGTAGTTTAGGAGAATTTTAGGAAATGATATTATTTAGGTTATTGGGAACATGAGAGGGAGAGAGAGATTTTAAGTACTTTTATAGGGAAAGGAGGCATTTCATTGGTTGTATAAAAATGACATGAATTAAAAAAATAAATAATTCAAAAAAAAGAGAAAATTTCTAGACTTCTGTGTTTTAGTGTGTGTGTGTATAGCATTGAAGACTAAACTGACTAGCATATGTAATGCCTAGTCTCTTACCGCAAGGATCTCTAGAAATGTCATACCTATCTCTATGCATATGTAATGCATAGAAGGGTCATATATATGTTACGCACCCTAGCCGTGTGATGATTAAGTGGCAACCTGGGTTGATTTATTCCTCTCACCTATTGGGTAGAAGTTTGGCATGAGTAGGGTGACAAGGAAGACGATTAGACAATTTAGGGTCCATTTGGTTCATAATCGGAATCGGAATTAAAATTGAAATTGGAATCGGAATAAGAATAAGAATCAGAATAATCTATTCCCATAGTCTGTTTGGTTCAGACATGAATGAGAATAAAAATTAAAATCATTCATTCCCAAGTGAAGGGCAGGGAATGGTCATTCCCTCAAATGGGGGAATGCCATTCCAGCAATGGAAATAAGATTCCAATTCCGCCCAACCAAACGGGGCCTTAGAGGCTAGAACTCTCCTTATTTAAGCAAAGATTTTAAGCCATACATGGGGTATGGCCTATGGGCTTTTAATTTCAACGAGCATGCCTCGCCAGTCACCAAGCAAAGGGGCGTCTGATCAAGAGTTGATAAGTGGGCCTAGTTCATATCGCGACATCTCGTTGAACGGTTCTTGACGACGACATTTGGCAAACCCACTTAAATGTCAACAGCACAGAGCAGAGAGAGAGTGAGAGAGGATAAAATGGATAACGTTAACCATCCATTCCTCTCGCTGCTGCTGCCCCACGTTCCAAAGGAATGGAAGCGAGTGCGCTCCCTTCCCTCTGCCCAAAACCTTCAACGCTTTTCCTCATTAACAAACCCTTTACCACCCAAATTTTCCTGCACACTGCTCCCCGGCGTGTTCAGCCTCTGAGAGCTGGGCCAGATGGTAGCAGCGGTAGCACTGGTGCCAACGGCGATGGTGGCGATACTCCTCCACCCGTCACACCAGCAGTTGCACCGCCAGAAAAGGTTGAGATCCGGTTCCGACGGGGATCGAGAAGAAGGTCAAGACAACAGGACGGCAACAGTGCCGGTGGACTACCCAAAGCACCTGCGCCACCAAAGGACTGGGAATTAATGACTATCACTGAGAAGGCAGTGGAGTTGTACATGGGGGAGAAGGGTCTGCTGTTTTGGCTCAACAAGTTTGCATATGCGTCCATATTCATCATCATCGGAGGATGGATCCTATTCCGTTTTGTTGGTCCCTCGCTCGGCCTCTACCAACTCGACTCTTCTCCTTTGCCCCCCTCAGCCATGTTCAAGGGCTCATGATAAAATCAACGAATTGAACAAGTACAGAGAAACAATGTACATCATCAATACCATCTATCTATCAATCCATCACCTATTACTCCCGTCTATTTTCTTACTTTACATTTGCTTCTGCAACCAACAAATTGCCTGAGATAAAAGATAACCAGAGTAGCCAAGAGTACTTTCCTAGCGGTTTGCTGCAGCTCTCGTTTTCCTCAACCTTCCACGTGTCACCCGGATGGTTTCCTCCATGACTGTCTCCTGTTGAGGGGGTTTCGCATTTCCATTAGCTGAAGATGAAACTTGTTCAATGACTTCAATCTGCATTTCTTCTGCTTCTTTCTGAGTTGGTTGGCTGGTGGCTTCAACTGCGGGCTGATCATTGAGTGTTGTTTGTGAACGCACAGCTGCAGCAGGAGAGGCTGCTCTTGCGGGAACAGGAGAAGCGCTGGCTTCTTGTGGTTCAAGTTGCTGCTCAGTTGAAGACACACTGGAAGTTCGTGATAATGGCTGCTGGGCTTTATGTTGCAGTTGCTGCTGCTGTGCATGCACAGCTGGTTCGCCAGTTGGTACAGAGGGTGGAGTTGGAGGTTGACGAACTGCCCCACCCTGCTGTTGCTGCTGCTGCAATGTTAACAAATCATAGTTCAGCCCTGTAATTTTGTTCTGTTGAGTATCAATGAGCAAACCACTTAATTCCTTAATATTCCAGTACTTTCCTTGGTTTGGATCCGTTTAATGTCATAAAAAGCACGCGTAAATGTGTTATGGAAGCATGGTCGACTAGTTTTGCATTTATGCACTTCTGAGATTTTGATATTTCAGTGGAAACACTCAAAATACCGTTTAGTGGAAAGCTGAAAATAATGATCTGCTTAGAGAATCTACAAAATAAATCATAAATTGAGATTTCAACTTTGGCTGATAGGATTGATATGCATGTAGTTGATGCATTAGAAGTTTAGAACCAACAGTCATCCTGCTACTGTATCAGCCTCTACAAAAATTAATTGAAGATTTGTGAGACGTTTATTTTTCCCTTTATGATGCCTGCAGCTTACCAGTGGATCACTAAAATATTGTGCTTTGATTGCTTCAGGACCGAAAAGCTCCTGTAAGTATGGCTTTTTAACAGTGGGGGTACTGTAATTATTAGTTTTCAAAATATTGTGTAGTGGATATTCCAATTAGTCCCTGTCAATTGTTTTTCAACTCGAGAGATACTACCAGCAGAAATGGAATTAAAAACCTGTTTTATCCTGAACAAATGGTTCACAATTCACCTAAAGAGGGCAAAGTAGGGCAGACCTTATGATGAAGCTTCATAAAAAAGGCTTATTTATGCTATTATGCTTATCATTTGGTACCTGAGCAGGCCGTGGTCTTGCCGCTGATTGTGATGCAATATATTGTAAAATCTCAAAAACCCTTGTCTGACCATAATTTGCAGCTCTTTGCCAATACAGAAGTGCAACATCCCCAGCTCTGGCCCTCAATTCCAACAAGTTACGATCAATTTCGTTCTCATGCTTTGCAAGGTATGGCCGAAAGAAAGAATCATAAACGTATGTTGTTCCCTGAAAGAATAGAAGTAAAATAATAGGGGCAACAATTCAGAGTTTCAATAAACTTACAACATCAATCCTCCAAAACCAAGTAGATTATATACCTTTGTTTTAGGATACCACAAATATATGAAGAATGCCAATTTCGCCTCACTGTACATTGGCGCCCTTTCAAGAAAGTATTAAATAAACACCATCAGGATCTGGAAAGACCCAAAGAGGTGTACAACAGAAAAGATATGGTCTCCATATTAGAGTTAAAATTCCTTACCACGAAATAAAAGTGTCACCCACTCTCTCAAAGACTGTCAGGACTGCAACTAAAATCCTAACATTTGACAAAAACACTTGTTAATTCTGGAATTTTGTCCTAAGTAGTGTCACTAAAAGCTCAATCACAATAAGATGCATGATATTAAGAACTTCAGCATCTAATCCTGATGAATTAATTTGCACAGTGAACACGGTGGAGAGAATGGTTAATCATACAACCTCATTCCTCTCATACAAAGTCTCAAAAGATGCAGAAAAGGTGAACTCACTAACCAGTATTGGCACCAAAACCGCAGTTGCTCAATTTCTGGTTTATTCTTCTCCACAGTTTTAAAGCACTCGTAAGCGGGATAGGCATAGCCAAAAACCATCCTGTGAACACACAATCCGAATATTCAAGTATACAACTTCTCCAGCAAATAATGCAAAACATAAAACAAAAGAAAAAGCACGGGATTCCAGAGAGCAACATACACAAGCCCTCTTGTAAGAAATGAACCTATCATTTCGTCTGGTTAACAATGCAAGGAAAATAATATTCTCCTCTTGCTTCTCAAGCTCTCAAAACGTGTATTTGGAATTTGACCCCCACAAATGTTGTCTTTCCAATTGGTTACTGTCAAAGAAATTTTGATTTTCCAATCAGACAAATAACACAGCTAGGGGAAATGGAAGATAAAAAATTGTAAGAGATCCGGATACAAGGCATCGCGAAAAAGTAACAATAAAGGGAGATTAACAGTCAGAATCCACTGTTCAGAAGCACGAGAAAAGAAGTAAATCACACTTGAAGCTGCCGCAGCGACCAAAAAATTCGTCAAATTACAAAAAATTGCCAAGGCAAATCAACCATTATTACAAAATAACTAATAAAAAAGAGCGTTGCAAGTGCTAAATTAGGGCAAAACGGTATCGATAAATTCAGTCAAACGAACTGAACAGCAGAAAATAGCAAAAAGGTAAAAGGGAAAAACTGAGACAAAATTGGGATTCAGCTAAGAACAAATAAAAATACACATACATTATTGAATTGAAACATAAAAGTAGAGTTGTTAACCAAAAATCTAGATGCCAGAAAAGCAAAATCCACGATCATGGAGACAATAATCATACAAAATAGAACCAGAATTCACAAACCACAAACCCAGGCCAAGGCAATATTTACTTCAAAAAAAGACGAGCTGGAAGAAAAGTAATTGACTAAAAGGAGAATAAAACAAGAAGGACACGATCTTAACCTTTTGATAATTTCCGTGAAATGAACAGAGAACTCTTATAACGAAGAGCTTCAGCAAAACTGGAGAAACGAATCTGCCGTTTTCAATAGAGAGTTGAGGTGGAGAACCGTCCTATATAGCCTTTGCTTGCTTCCGTACAGTCGAATCGGCGCGGCCAGAGCGCCACTGGAAGCCAATTCGGCGAGAGAGAGAGATTTATCGTTTTGAATTTCTTTTCTGACGTTCTCTCCGGGTCTCTGATGTGTTTTGAGTTCTGCGAAAGGAAAATATAGGCACGTGTGTTGAGAAATCTCTTATCGTTTGATTGATGTCTGCATCACAGCGTTCAGGCTGAATCCAACGGTCTAGGTGCCCCACATTATTTGAAGCCGAACAGGTGGATGAATATGTCGTAACTACACTAGCGAAACTTGAAATCATTTAAATGTCAAATATTTAATTTATTTTGTGGAAAATGGATAAGGAGAGGATTAAATAAAAGCGATTTCGGACAAATAGAAGATTACCGATTAAAGACAAGTATCTTTGCATTTTAAATGTTAAAGTCATTACTCTATTCGTTATACCAATTGAAGGGAAGCAAGTTAAAAAAAATTTCCGAAATTCTGGCCATTTCGGACAAGAATCTCAAATTTCGGTCGAAATTATTACGCTCCAAATATTTTAATTTTTCATCAACGTAAAGTATCCTTATGAACAGGTTCAGTAAATTGATTAAGGTGCCGTTTTGAAAGTCTTTTTGGGAAGATATCCTGGTAGTTCTTACATGAAGATGATGAATAGAAAAAAATGCAAGTGTGTTTCCTATTGGGCTTTTCATGTCTTTTCAATGTATTGGCTTTTGATGGCTAAATCTATCACAAACCAAATGGGAAAAGATCGAATCATAATCTGTCAAGCTTGTAAATAGCTAGAAAATTGCATGAAAAAACACATCAAACGGGGACTAACTCTACCGTATAATGTCTTTTACCCTTAAGTTTTTCTTGATAATTGTCTAAAACCTCATTTGCTGCTAACTTTTGGTCACAATCTTTTCACATGTGACATCACATAAATGATATATTTTTGGGTAAAATACAAAAACCTCCCTACAAGTTTCTTACAATCATAAAAACCTCCCCTTTAGTTTCACTTTAACAAAAACCTCCCCTAAACTTTTAAAGAATTTGACAAAACCTCCCCCCGTACAGAAACGTTAAACTCGTGCATCAATTTTTTTGAAATGTCCATTTTACCCTTTTGTAAGTTAGTTAATATACTTTTACTGAAATACCCCCATTTGAAAATCGACCAAAAAACTCCATTCGACCTATTTATCCTTTTCTAATCCCTGAACTCAACCGTACGAGGAACACAACTTTTTGATCTTTCAATGTCCCTTCATTCCATCGACTCAAGAAAAGGCAACCATTGACTCTTTCACTGCTGAAGCTTACTCCGATCAGGTAAAGAAGGAACATTCGATGCTTGGGACAATGGGGTTTTCTTTGAACTCCATTGACCTCTCTGACAACTTTCTTCAAGGTGGGTTTTTCGTATTTCTTCACAAACATGTCAAGTCTATAGAAGATTAAGCTCACAAACAACTAGTTGAGGTCGAACATTTCAGAGATTGCATTACTAGATGTGCTTTCCTCTATTGATCTCTACTCAAATCAACTCCATGGACCACTATCACTGCTTTTAGGCACTATCAAAATCAGACTTCTAGAGCTTGTAGACATCTTAAACAATCAAATCACATGTGAGATTCCAGAGTTCAGTGAAAGTTCGGGTTTGAAACTATTGAACTTTACAAGCAACAGAATTTCAGGTCAAATCCTAGATTCAGTCTCAAACCTGATTGAACTAGAAAGGTTTGATGTTTCAAGGAACCAGATTAAGGGCACCATCCTTTAAGCTTAGGCCAGTTACCAAAGATACAATGGCTTGACTTGTCCACCAATGCTCTTAGTGGCAAGAAATCAATGCTCTTAGTAGCGTCCCAAATAGCTTTCTAGGCCAATAGAGTCTCAGGCATGCAAGTTTCAGGACAAACAAACTTTGTGGAGGGATATCACAATGGAAGCCATTCAACATTTTCTCTATGGCTGCTTACACCCACAACCAATGCTTATGTGACAAGCCCATGCCACCTTGCAAGATAAACAACCTACAGGGGTAGGGTCAGTGAATTCCTTTATTTTTCATGCCCTATCAACATTTTTAGATCAAACTAAGAGATAGTTCTATTTCATAATAACTGAAATCCTTTATTTTTTTTTACTGAATACACTATTACACTTATTGTTTGCTTGTTTTTCAAGGGAAGTAGTACATTGGATTTGATAGTGAATTTAGTTAGCTTTGTACTCAATAGGGGTGTCAATCAGCCAGTTTTGTGTTGGATCCAATCTGATCTAAACCTTATCAAATCGGATTTGGACAGTCTATATAATTATTGGATTGGGCCAATCCAAAATAAATTGGTTCATATTCTTATTGATCTGAATTGGGCCTAAACCAAATTTCCAATAATCCGATCATAAGGCCAAACCCTTGTCCAATTTGAAACTGATCAAAACTGAAGCCGGCATAAATCACTTTTATGAAAGTATTTTAACAAAAGCACTTTTACAGAAGTAGTTTTATAAAAACACTTTTACGAAAACACTTTAACAAAAGCACTTTTACAAAAGTACTTTTACATGAAAACAATTTTACAAAAGAACTTTTAGGGAAGTAGGAAGTACTTTTACGAAAGCACTTTTATGAAAGTACTTTTATAAAAGCATTTTTATGAAATCACTTTTATGAAAGTACTTTTATAAAAGCACTTATACAAAAGCACTTTTATAAAAGAACTTTTATGAAAGTACTTTTATAAAAGCACTTTTATAAAAGAACTTTTACGAAAGCATTTTTACAAAAGCACTTCTAGGAAAGTACTTAAGTACTTTTACAAAAGCACTTCTATGGAAGTACTTTTACGAAAATACTTTGGTTAAAGTACTTTTACAAAAGCACTTTTAGGAAAGTAGTTTTATCAAAGTACTTTTGTGAAAGCACTTTTACAAAAGTGCTTTTTCAATGCCAAAAGGGTGTATTTTTGTAATTTTCAGATTTCTTCATTTTAATATATTTTTTGTAATTTTTATATGTTATATTTTTTTATATAATTTTTGATATTTCATTCAGTTTGGATTGGATCCAATCCAGTCCACTTATATTTTAATGGATTGGATTGGATTTGGACTGGATTGGGTCCAGTCCATTTGTAAGTGGATTCACATTGGACTGGATCGGGTTGGACCAAATCCAGTCCAATTGACACCTCTAGTACTCAATACTATTTAGGTTATTCAAGAATAAGAATTACACCATTCCTTGTATTAGTATTCAATCATTCCATTAGAATTGCGAAGACACCGAAGAGCCCATTTATAGGCTTGTTCAACTGAATCATTGTATATATAGATAGATAGATAGATAGATAGATAGATTGATAGAGAAAGAGAGAGAGAGAGAGAGAGGGTGTTGAATTGAAATTGGATTGCTATTATGAAATGGATTCCACTAACAAAACCCAATGATCACAACTGGTTTAGGCATTTACATATGGCAGTCAGCCCATACATTAAGGTTACTCCAAATGGCCTCCATGAGCTTTTGCTTCCGCTTCCTCTTCCCTCTCTGAGCTTTCTTGCTCCTAGTATAGTAAACAGGCATTTACAATAATGTTATTAATAGTATGACATTGAAATGAGAAAAATCATAAGCAAATAATTCAGTGTGTTAATAGGGAAAAGCAAATAAGCACGGAAGTACCCAAATTCATCTTGATCTTAGAATCAAGGCTACAACTATGCATATCGATAAGCACCACGGGGACATCCTTATTACATTCTTCACTGCAAATCAACAAAAACCCAACTCCCATCATTAACCAATAAAAATTAAGAAGCCGCCTCAAGCCCAACACTTGAGTAGTGCTAGTAACAATTTAGCGACATTAGAAACAGATCTGCATGGAATCAAAATACTATACATACTTCCTCCCAGAAACCGAGAAACAACAGAAGAAGATGCGCAGAAACAAATCACAAGGCTTAACAAATAGAACCCAAAATCTCAAGCAAAGAAAAGAACTAAATAATAGATGAACTACTGATTGAAAAGATGAAACTTAGCATCTAGTGAAAGCGCTTCCATCCTTGGCACGTTTTAGAGTACTTTTCTGCACTTCAACCTTCTTTCTTGCTCTCGGAGTAGACTTTAATGAAGCTCCTGCCATGTTTTGTTCAACAGAGAGACCAAGCTAGTGAGCTAGAGAGAGAGAGAGAGAGAGAGAGAGGTTCAGCGGTGAAAGAATCAACGGCTGCCGCTTCTTGGGTTGTTGGAGTTTGAAGGGACATTGAAATAGGAGGAAGAAAATGACAAGGATTACTCTTTCCTTGAACCGATAGTTTGGATGAAAGATCAAAGAGCTACATTTCTCGTATAGTTGAGCTCAGGGATTAAAAAAGGATAAATAGGTCGAAGGGAGTTTTTTGGTTGATTTTCAAATGAGGATATTTCAATAAAAGTAGGGGTGGATTCGAGCCAAGCCAAGCCGAATACTTGGTTATTCGAACTCAGCTCGTAGGAATAGTATCAGGCTTTAGCTCGAGCTCGAGCTTGACTTAGTTCGTAGCTCACAAGTTCGAGTTCGGCTCGGCTCAAGCTCGACTATAAGCCAAGTTTTTTTTTTGAAAAATATATTTTTTTATTTTTTAGACAAAAATTAAGAATTATAAAAATTATTTAATATTATATACAAAAAATAGTTATGAAAATTATTTTCTATTATACATGAAAAATAAAAATACTATATCAATAAAGATATTATTATATATAATAAAATATTTATTATGTATGTATGTATGTATGTATGTATGTATGTATGTATGTATGTATGTATGTATGTATGTATGTATGTATGTATGTATNATGTATGTATGTATGTATGTATGTATGTATGTATGTATGTATGTATGTATGTATGTATGTATGTATGTATGTATGTATGTATGTATGTATGTTTATATGTATGTATGTATGTTTATATGTATGTATGTATATAATAAAATTATTTATTTAATACTAGGCTCGTGAGCCTTATGAGAAGAGTTTCACTAGGCTTAAGCTTGGCTCGATTAGCAAATGAGCCTTATATATCAGGCTTGAATTCGGCTTGAAGCTCGGTTTAAACCGAGT